TAAACATTGTATTAGCATTAACAAAGCCATTCATCTACAAATTTGCAAGAATATTGGTTTATAGACTAATTAAATAATTAAAAAAATAAAACTGTGTTAATTGACCTCACCGTAGGCGCGGTTTGAAATTCGGCCACGTGCCAACCTATTATAGTACATCTTTCTGATCTTTAAGACCCACATAACTATAAGGAAAGTGTATAAATTTGTATACATTTTGTTTATAGTTGATAGAGGTACATATTTTTAGGCTCCATATACTGCATAAAAATCCGCAGTCTATTGATAACAGTTCATTAATAGCGATAATGAAAGCTTCGACGACGCATCTATTGACGTATTTGTGTATGTATGTGCGTTAGGGTGTTCGAATATTTGCCTTTTTTCCAGGCCCGGTTTTCGAGTTATTCGAAAAATTGCAACTTAAAATACTGGTTCCCGATTTTGAAAGTAAGAAAAACCCTTATAGAACGGTATTATTTTATATAGTTTGCTTACAGTGAAATTGTTAGTACGAAGTCATGACAAACTATTAAAATAAAAATATTTGCAACAAAGAGCGTGTCAGACGTGGCAATATTTCCAATTTTTCCACGTATTTCGCTGTCAAATTGAGAAAGAGAAATATTATTTCGGAAATCAGTTCCAGAAAGGTTGCAAGAAGTGACTGCAATTGAAAGAGCGAAAACCGATTTTGAAAATATATTTCAACTTGCTCGTGTTGCGCTATTAATTCTTAGTTTTGCTGAAAGTGGTGTTACCGTGTGACACTGATCCGGAGTTTGTGAGAAATATTATGAAAAATAGAAGACAGAAACGATTTTTACTAATTATTAATCTTCGAACTGAAAATTATGATGTTTATATATCGAAGGGAAATAACGAACAACCGGCAAAGCGGCTCACGGTTGCATTTTAGTTAGTATCGGGAAAGATTGCCAGAAATTCATTCGCTGTGTGAACAATCCGCCTTTCGGAAATAAAAAACCTTTTTCGAAATTGCTCAATTTGACAGCCTTTTCGAAGCCACGCCTGACACGCTCTTAAAGATAGTTTTTATTTAAAAAAGAGCAAAGCAAAATAAATAGTAGTAAACAAGTAAGATGGTCTAAGTTCGGGCGGAGACGAACATTAAATACCCGGCGCAAGTATTAAATATATGTTTTTTTCACCTTTCCGAAACCTACCGCCAGAAGGTAAGACGGGGTGTATCAATTTTGAGTAAATTAGCGTCCTTAAATTTCGAAATATTGCAGTTTCAAGCATTTCTGAAATTTACCGTTGTATGAAAAGCGGCCGTAATTTTAGTCCGATTTCAATAATTTTCAGTGCTTTGCTTATATGTGGCAAGCACAATAAAAATACCGAGTTGGTACAAATTGGTAGAAGGGTTACCGATAAGTGGGCGGTGCCACGCCCATTTTCCAAAATTTAACCATAAACGTATTTCTTGGTAAAGAATTGTTGCGAACACCAATTTTGAATGAGTTAGCTTTAATATTTACTGATTTATCGAAGATTTTGTATTTCTCTAAATTACCGTTATATGGGATGTGGGCGTGGGTATTGTCCGATTTTAAAAATTTTCGGCCATTTGGTATGCTGTACCAAGGCCAACAGCTGTGCCAAGTTTGGAAGCGGTTGCCAAGATATACACATGTAACCATAAGTGGGCGTGGCTACGCCCATTATGGAAAAATTTATAATATTCTTATTTTATTTATTGTAAATATTAATTTTGAGTGAATTATCTTCAGTAGTTACTAAAATATCGCAGTTTTCGTATTTCTGGAAATTACCGTTATATGGGAAGTGGGCGTGGTTACAGTCCTTGGATTAATGGAAACCTACATTCCAAATTTCGTTTAGATATCTCAATAAATATATAAACAGAATGCGTTTGAAATATACGTCAACATATCATCAGGAACGTTCTAAAGAATAAATAAACAAAAAAGTTTCTTCCAAACATTCAGAATGAATAAAGAAATGCAGCCAAATTGTTCTAACCTTTTTCGGATTTGCGTCACATCAAGAAGAAGAACACGAATTGGAGGAGAAGCTCGGCCGAACACGTAGAAAACGTTTAAGCGCCAAACATTTATTTAATGGAATTAAATATGACAAACTGTTCATCCCCAAATAACCTACGATATGATTTTAAAACGATTTAGGGTTTTCCCTTAAATTGGAAAAAGGCTTGAAAACGTCTAAAAACTCGATACTTTTATTGAGTGGCCAAGATTTGTATGAAATGAAAAAAACCGGTTTGTTCTATAAAAAAATACCGTTTATTCGATATTCAAAAAACCAAGATTTCAAAATAACCGCCTATAGATATCAAAAAAAAAAAACGCGGTGCCAACCGGTTTGGAAAAACGGAGTCAATCACTCTAATGTACGTACATACATACATATATACTCTTACATATGTGTGTATGTATATACAAACATATCGCTTTAAATTTTGTAAACAGCTACGCAGTTCTACTCACTTTTATTTATTTATTTTAATTTTAATATAAATTTTCGTATCTTAAACACGGCTTATTAAACATTTTTTATGCATACTTATCCTTTTTAAGTAAACTTGTTACGCTGTCGTAAACGCTTTCATTTACTTAAATATTTAATTGCTATGGCTGAGTATGATATAAACTGGTTTTCAGAAAGTTGAGTGGCTTAGACGTACTACGTAGTACATACATACATATAGAATTATAATTACTGTAGGCATACAAAGCATGTATAAACAAATTACATTGTAACTCATTAAAATTGCAAGTGAATACCTAATATCTGCGTATTTTATTACTTTCTTAAGTACTTACTTACTTACTTACATTTATGGCTACTAAAGACAAGTTTAAGTGTATACACATGTGAATAAATCATAAACCGCAATGGTTAGCACAAAATACTCGGTAATTTCACATTTCATTTTTCAGCCATTAATAAAAATAAAAGTTACAATTTGAATGTAGTTAGTTATCAATTCGTCGGAATTTTTTTTTTAATTCTATAATTAATTTTTTTTAGTGGAAAGGTGGTACCTCACAGGTCGTGTCCTACTAATTTGGTTTAGATCAGATCATTAGATCATGAAGGAATTAACGGTACTTTTAAATTTTTATTTGAGAGTTTAAGTCGGTTTTGTTTTTTGCTTAAAAATTACTTGTCCAAAACTATTTTTATGTATAAAAAAAAAATTGATTTTGATATTTTTCAGAAATATTTTGAAGATAGACTTTAATGGTCTGTTTAACTCACTTCCAGTCGTAAACGACAGTTGGTAATACCACCAGAAGGTAGAGCATCCCCGATTTGGTAAGTCATATTTTTGCTCTTTTCAATAAACAGAATTTCCCTCCATTTTTCAGAGGGCCAAATTTTTTTGCGAGTTTTTGAAAAATTTCAACAGTAACACTGCTCTTTAAATTCCAACGAATAATCTTGCCCACAGTTGCTGATAAGCGAATTGAGTCTCCCTACGAACGAAAAAAAAAAATATTACAAGTCTCTCGTCATATCCGTGCTGATCTGATAAGGCAGCCCTTAGAGAAAGGTTCTATGGCCGATGTGCGTGTGCGGACGTGTACCGGTGATAGTATACTTGTACATACATGCAAGTACATGTCGCACAAATAGACACAAGCGCTCCAGTCCTGAAAGTATGCAAACCGGTGAGAATTGAGAGGAAGAGGAATGCCTTCTCTGCGACGGCGGAGAAACTAGTAGGAGAAGGATTTGGCTTGACCTGGCTGCAATTGTCATTACCTGAAATAGAAGAAGCTGGCGTGCTTTCTTGGGCTCGGCCAAAATTGTGCAGCCGTAAGAATATGAAAAGATGTGCATATGTCAAAATGACGTAATTGTTTTGTTATCGTTAACATATTGTAAGCCGAATTCGGATTATAGTTGACGTTTTTTTTATTTTTTATGAACAAAGGCTATTTTTATTTCCAACAACTTTTTAGTGAGCACTCAAGTCGCATTTTAATTGATTTATCCAAAGGCGATGTACTTTTTGTTTTTTTTTTTTTTTGTCTAGTGTAGCTTTACTGATTATTGCAGTGTTTGTGCGAAAAAAAGAAAAAATGAAATCAGCCATTAGAGTCGTATCAACAACATTTCGCTTTTACTAATTATTATTCATCAAAATACAATATTTTGCAGTATTAGTAAGTGGCCAAGCGCAAATGTACTTAGCATTTGCAAATGCGTATGTATGTTTGTATGTACACATACCCTGCAGAAAAAAATTATCAGTTGATAAAAAATAACCCACTTGTAAATAGCTTTTTTGCGGGATTTCTATAAAATATATAATTTGTAGTTAGCCACAAAAAGCTAACTTGAAACTAGTTGACAGGTAATGCAGGAGATTTTTTTCTTTGAACGTGTTTCTATTTAAACATCCTACACTTCGCAAATACTTTTTTAAATTGAGGACAAATAAAAGAAAGATCGAAATTCCATGTTATCATTTTATGTCTGACGGAGTTCGAATATGGGACCACCTACAGCAGAATATGTAAGCAAATATGAAATATAATAAAATAAATAAAGCAAAAAAAAATTTTATAAAAAAATATTTTGTTTTTTCCCATTGATATTTTATGCCCAAAACTAGTTGGTTACATCAAATGCAGAGGTAACCACCCTTGACCATTTCGCGGCCATCGCCATAGAAATATAGTTAGCTTTCGTCAAAGAAAATATACAGATAATAGTGAGTTTTAGCTCCTTCCTAATCAACTTTAAGTTAACTTATAGTTAGATAAATTTCCTGCAGGGTACCTATTCACATAAATTATACACACAAGCATCCGTATGGGCATTACAATGCCCGCTGGCTTGACTTCATTCATTCCTACAATGCCGATACGATAACCCGGGAGCCCCATGTTAGTCACGTCACAACACAGATGTGTACTTTATGTTCGTATGCACATACAACGCTTGTAAGAGCACTCACTCATATGTATGTCCGGAGAAGAAAAGACAAAAAAACTGGGATAGCTCCGCTGATCTCAAAAACATTTGCTTGATTCTGACTTGAGCCAAACAGTTGCGATTCGGCTTTCGAGTATTCAACAACGCGTTTGTTAAACTTTTTCTCGACCGTGGCGGCGCCAATATGAATTCGTTAATAAAATATTCGTTTTATCTAAGTTGTATGCTCATAGCTTTCACAGACACTTTAGCCGCAAAAGTGGATCCAAGTCGTCTTACACATATACCCGAACAGCTAACAGCATCGACCATTGCAACAATGCGACGCTGCAAGACGGCTTCGATCGTTAATCTCATGGATCGAGACGTTGAACCTTGCAATAATTTTTACAAATTCGCATGCGGAAAATGGACACGTCTAAATCCGGCCACTACAATCGAACATCTGACCACCGGTCTTTTTGAGGAGCTGAGCCAACTGCTCGATCGCAAGGTGGAGAAGCTACTAACCAACGATACGGAATTCAACTACACAGCCATCGACAATAAAGTACAGAACTTTTTCGTTTCATGCGTTAATTTGGTCAAGCTGAAGGATAAATATAAGCAAAAACTAAGTGATATAATTGCTGAATTTGGTGAAATGCCTGCGCTCAGCGGCGCCAAATGGAATGCGGAGAAGTTCGATTGGGTGACAACAATTGCGAAAATTGCGCACAAGTATGGCAAGGATATAATAATTGGCATGGACATAATGGCCGATTTTAAAGACAACAGCATAAATCGAGTTTACATTGGTCAAGCCGATTTGCCATTAGAGAGTCGCGCGATGTACTTAGATGATTCGACTGCTGTCTATAGGGATAGCTACAAGCGGAAGATACGCAAGGAGCTTGTGAAATTTTTAGGAATGGATGCTCAGCTGGCCACCAAGACAGCAAATGATATTGTTGATTTTGAAGTGAAATTGGCGCAGGGCTTGATTGATGATACACTGGGCCAGAGCCTCGACGACTTGTCAAAGCTAACAACTGTCGAACTGATGCAAGCCAAATACGCTCCGGTTATAGACATTAAGAAGTTAGTGAACATAACATTAGGTGAATTAATCACCGATCCATTGTATGAGTATGCCGATGTATATCAGCGAAATTTGAAGAAAATCATGCCAGAGACACCAAAGGAAGTGGTGGCCAATTACATTTTCTACACATTAATCTCCGATTATATGCTGGACATTGATAAGTCGCCGCGCAGTCAGAGGAAAACCTGCATCGAAAAGACAAAGTCATATTTCGCCAAAAATGTGGATAACATGGTGTATCGCAGATATAGCACAAGAAAAACTGAGCTCGATGTCGAGTATATGTGGAAAGAGCTTAAGGAGAGCTTCAAAAGCACGCTAACTTCAGGCAAGCTGGATTGGATAGCCGAGCCCACGCGTCAATATGCGCTTGAGAAGTTGGAGGCACTTAGAATGGAAATCAACTCATACGCAGATCACAATTTCACCGAAGAGTTTGGCCCGCTGGTGACCAACAACAATGACTATCTGGCAAATGTGCTCGCTATATTGGAGTTGGACACAAAGCGATCGTACGCCAAATTGCATGAGAAACCCAAGCCAATCGAAGCTGGTGAAATACTGTCCTACACACCGGCCAACATACTCATTGAGAATGTAATCAAGGTGCCGGTATCGATACTGCAGCCCTACTTGCTATGGAGTGAAATCTATCCGACAGCAGTAAAATTTGGCACTTTGGGTGCCCTTGTCGGTCACGAACTCATACACGCCTTCGACGACACCGGACGCCGTTTCGACAAGGATGGCAACAGTCGTGACTGGTGGGACGCGAAGTCAACGGAAATCTTTCTTAATCGTACTGAGTGCTTCAGCAATCAATACAGCAAGTATCAGTATGGCGGACGCTTTCTGCCCAAAAGTGTTTCACAGTCGGAAAATATCGCCGACAATGGTGGCATGCGGCTGGCGTATCAAGCCTATCTGCGTTGGTATGAGGATGCAAAACGTGCGCATAATGAAAAGATGAACGAGAAGCTGCCTGACTTTCCCTACGACTTCAAGCAATTGTTCTTTATTAGCTTTGCACAAATTTGGTGCAATGATGCGCATCCTGAGGTGAAGAATCTGCAAACATCTACAGATCAGCATGTGCCGGGAGAGTTCAGGGTAATCGGACCACTTTCGAATTCAAAGGAGTTCGCAGCTGCATTTAGTTGCGCGGATGATGCACCAATGAATCCAAAGCATAAATGCCAAATTTATTAGTTAAACAAAAAAAAAACGCATACCTAGTATGTGGTGTAAAAAGTTTTTAAAACTAAAATAGACTGTAAATTTGTTTTAATTTTTTT